GTTCTGATCGCATGGTCACGATATGTTTAGGACATCGTGCTGTAAAATATTTGTCAAATATTTTATAATGCTGGTGGTATGGCTAAAGCAGTGGCACCATTATCCTCAAGCATTCTGAACCTGGTTCGAATTTAGCTATTTATGACCTGATCACCTCCTTTATAGACCTGGGCATCTCGATGCATGCTCGTAACTAGTATTACTTTTAGCCTCTTTCCAGTTCTAATGAAGCCAGACGTACATGCGAAGTACCTGTCATTTCTTGAGTTTTGTGAAGATTTACTCATGACGTGGATTATCTGATGCCGCCATTCCCAGCCAGGTGTTTTCTTGTTTTCCAGTAATATGCATGCATTCATGTGTTAATGTATATCACTGCCACTTAGACTACTCTCCATGTACAGCAGAACTAAATTTATATCGTCTACAGAACGGCAAACTGAAAACAACATAAAACACGGTTTATTTATACACAACGCAAACAATTTGCTGAGGCGAATGATTGATTTGTACCAATGCTGCTCGCATCCTGCGGGTTTTCGTGCAGGCAGAGATGGGTGAGTATCAGAGGTACCTTTTGTCGTTCGCAGCAGTTCGTATGTTCAGAGCCAAAAGGCAAGTCGTCTCATGATTTTCAGCAGTTTCATTGTTTCCACAAAAGCAATACTCTGACAAACTGGTGATCCGTCGCGTCGGTAGGATATCTTATGATTTTTGGTGCTGACTTCAGCGGTGGCAGATTCTGTGCCTATATTCATGGTAAGGTCAAGCCACAATATTCGACGTTTCGCGAACAGCTTGAAGGAGTATCACCGATGCATTTTTCTCGTTTATCATACTGTAATACTCGATCGTCTTTGAAATTTTATGCATAGATCTGCTACCAGATCAATTTGTGGTCCTACTAAATACAAGGTCGAGAGCTTTACCTTCTAGGCGAACCAAACGAGTTTGTTTCCTAACTCGTTCTCAGCTTCACCTTACCATTAAACTCTGCTTCGGTCAAGCTAGAACGCAAGAGATAAATCCTGCTCGCTCGCTTGGATCGTTGTGTTAAACATATTTACCTGTTTGCGTGTCTGTATTCATAGAAACTAGATGTTATGGATTTTGAACTCACCATTTTCTCAAAAGATTTCAAAATTAGTGTGAAGTCGGTAACAAACCGGCGATATATAGAAAATGCAGTACTAATCACAGAACCTTTCCGTAAACGTGATAGCAACTGATAGAGAAATTTAACATCTGAGGCAAGCCTTACAAATAATTCTTCAGGTTTCTGATTCTCAGCCCATAGTTTCATTCATCGTTATTTGAATGATTCATAGTTCGAGGCAAAAAACAGCAGATGGTAAAGCGTTTAATGCCAACGCGTTTCACTGCACAGACCACAGCGTCAATAGGGCTGGACTGAATATAATCGACTGCTTTGTCGAAGGCATTTATTTATCCAACAGGCGAACAATGTCAATTTTTCAGTTGGCACATACAGTTAACACGTTATTACACTGTCTGAACAAAGTATAGTGTCCACATCAAAATAGATTGCAACTGTTATTCTGACCCGATTTTGCGTATCAATTTTCTTATTGCTAATTTTCAGCCTTCACTGATAATAGCAGATGTTTCTTCATTGCACTTCCGGTTGTTCATTGCCACAATACGCTAGAACTTCTCTATTAGCAGACCTAATTTAAATTGATCTTTGTCTATGACACACTGGTTGGACTGAAAGAATGCCCTTCAGCATGTTGGGCAATAGCGGAATTATCAGTCTGTCCAAGGCGTCCCGCGATAAGGTGCTCTTATGTAAGAATGTTCAACTTCCGATTGGTCTTTCAAATCTACGCCTTGTCGCAGTCTCTGCACTGAATTATGTATGCCACATTGAACGCTTCTTCGGTTAATGGACATGTGCTTTTTAAATAAGTTTCGCCCAACGTTTTGCCAATGGTACTTC